TGTGGGCAAAGTAAATTTAGTATTAAAAGGTACGATGTTGGAGTTAATAACGAATCTTTTGTTTACGGGTGTGTTTATGTGGGTAGAAGTGCCTTTTTGGAATTTCTGTGGGAGTCAGGATTTTTAAACTGGAATTTGGCGTGTCTGAAATGTGGAGCTGATATGAGAACTTGGACAAAGAATGGTGTTTCTGATAGACTTGTGTGGGTTTGCAGTCAAATGGTTGCTGATAAAATATGTGGCTGTCAGGAGTTTTAAGTTATGGATTGTGGTTTTCGTGCAGTAAGTTAACTTTGGAGGAAGTTTTTATCATTTAGTTTCGAAATTTTGAATCGCAGAAAGATATGTGATATAGCAAAATCGTGGCACTTTTGTTCACAGACGTTGTGTGATTGGCAAAATTTTATTCACATATGTATTATGGTAAGTGCATTTTATTTTATTGCTTTTATTTTGTAGAATATTATGTTCATTGTTTTTTTACTATGAATTTCTGTTGTTATTTGAATTGTTTGTAATTTATTTTATTTTCTTTTGTTTATTTGTGAGTAATGCCTAGATTGTGCAATTCGTAGATTTTTTTTAAAGTTTAAACAGAATGCTGTGTACATGGCATTCTTTTAAATTTATTGCTATGTTAATTTATTAAAGCGAGGTACGCGTATTTCGTAGATTTCTTTGCTGCGTAGATTGTGCAATTTGTAGATTTTTTTTAAGTTAAAACATATAGCTGTGTACATGGATTCTTGTCAAATAGTTTTGTTAGAAACTACATTTTTGCTATCTAAATTTTTTGTTTCGGATTTTTAGCTTAAATTAAGTGTTCAAAACGTAGTTTTTGGAGACATTTTAGGCTTACAGTTTGAAATGTAGAAAAAAATTTAGATAGTAATATGGCATCGTGGAGTTTCACGCCCAAAGTATTTGGCGAGAAATTGTCACCAAGCGAAGGCATATATAAGAGTAGTTGCTTAAGTTTTTTTAATCTGAAAATTTTAACAATATTTTACGTAATTTACATCATTCTTCTTTCTAGCACCTTTTCTAAGTTTATTTGTATCAATATACCTTTGAGGAAAAATTTTTTTTATGTAATCAAATTCTTTCTCAAAAAGTTTCCTCTTCATTTTAGGATTTCAGATTTAACTGAAGATTTTTGTTGTTCTAAAGTGCATGTATTTAGAATGTATCGAAGAAACTGCTAATTTTATTTCATTAATAATATGAGTATTGAGAATAAATTTAAAATGATATAAGGTCAGGGTTGGTGCCATAGCCAATATGGCAGAATTTTTGAAGTTAGTGAAGCAGTGAGCCAAAAAAAATTACAGATTAGTAAAAGTTTGGGGAATTAAAGGTTAGCAAAATTTTAGAATTTTGGAAAAACCCATAGAAGACAAATTCAAGATACATAGAATGTGTAACGGGTGGCAATACACCTATCCCTGTGTACAGTGCAGTAAGACATATAAGATAGATCTTGTGAAAAGATGAGAAAATAAAATGAATATAAACATGTTAAGAGTAAGGCCTTTTAGGATAAAAGTAGAAAATTCAAATAATTTTTTTTTTCAATGTTCTTAGAAATATTCTCCAAAAAATTTCCCATTTCATCCAAACCCATTTATTATATGATAATGCCATGGAAACATTTTTCATTTTGTGATATTTTTCTATAAATCTTGCTTTCAAATCCTAAACCTTCCAAGGTGCAAAGTCTAAAAATTAATCCACTCTGCAAAAGCTCCTCCCCGGCCCAAAAAAATATTCTTGAATACAAAATTCAGAAAAGAAAAGGGTAAAGTGAATTTTTAAAAGAAAACTGACACACATTTGAATATTCTGAAACAATTACATACAAAGAAAACTCTTGAAAAAATATGAAACAGGACAGATGAAATTTATTTGTAAATAATTAGGTAGCTGTTTTGCATTTGCTAAGAAATGCTTTGGAAACTGTGCTTTATGGTATTTTTTATCTTAAGACGTATTCATTATGAGCCCACAATGGAAAGCGATGTCATTTTAAAATCTGACATGGGAAAATAAAAACGCTATATTTTAATGTTATTTCTTAATTACAATTCTAACAGATTATTCTTATTTTAATGATATTTATAAATATTATTATGTTTGTAAAAAAGCAAATTTGAAAATTTGCAAATCATCAGATAAAAATTTCGTTAACAAATTGGTCTTTTGGCGATTTCAATCGCCAAAATGATAGGCTGCTAAATTTAGCATCGCATAAATACAAGAAATTATATCTCAAAAAGGGAAAGCTGTTTTAAAGCATTATTTTATGAACTCTTCATTCTCAGAAAAGAAATAACTTTGAAATATAAATGTTTAAATAGAGGCAGAGTAGCATTTATAGGAAGTACGAAAATTAGACATAAGAAGGAATTCACACGATAATCCATCATATACATATTTGTCAATAAATCACCAAAATATTTTCCTCAAAAATCTTAATTAACACTCAAAATGACAGTAAAAAAGTTAGAAATATCAGATGAGTAAAATTAAGGACCTTTTGCTAATTTTGGCCAAAACTAAGGACATTTAAGGACTGTACGATCCCTGTCAACTGCTAACACCAATAAAGTTAGAATTCAATAAAATATCTTAGGTTGATAAGCAAAAATATGTTTTAAGTGTTAGTAAGTAAGGAAGTTTTATAGTCAGCCAATCTGCTTTATCAGTTGGGATCAGAATGGATACTCATTAAAATTCTTTTTTTGAGGACTAATATCCAGATTTCAGGCAAGGTCTCTATTGCCATATAATCTTATGATCTAACGCTTCTTTACCCCTCTCAGCATTATGGACAAAAAATTCCGTATAGAAGTTTTGCTTTTGTAATCATTACATAAGAAAATTTCTGCCAGCTTTTAATGTATCAAATTTTAGGTTGAATGTATATTGGAAGAAAAGGAATCAAAGTACAATGGGGAAAGAGTAATTTTTTAATTGTAGTCAAGAAAATAACATTTATTCATGATATTTTGAGGAACTTTGAAATTTCAGGGCTAAACCCATATGCTCTTGGTGGGTTAATTTTAAGGCTGCATTTAAAGCCAGGGTTTGTTGATGATTTTATCTTGTCTCATTTAAGGACTGAGTCTGAATGCTTCAAAGAGTATTATACAAAAGCAGTGCTATTTTATTTGCTGTATTGGCTGGCTAAAAGTCTGTACACTTAATATGTTTTTTTTCAATGATATAGATATCACCAACATTGATATTTCAATGATAATTTTTAATACTTTTAAACAATATACTGAACTTCAACATAGATGGGGATGGTATACAAACATGACACATCTCTTGTGCTGGATTCCAATTTGTGCAATCTTAACAATTTCCAGATGGATGAGACTTGGGGTATGTTTGTATAAAATAATTTTGAAATCAGAAGTGATATGTGGGGATAATGGGATAGTGAGGGAATGTTCCAATGAATTTACTTTTGTCTGCTTCATGCCTTAGTAGCAATTTTACATTTTCCAAAACAATTGCAAAATTTTATTTGTTGATTTTATTGATGCAGTTTTCAACAAAAGTGGAAGGGTATCTAACATTTGTTGGATACACTTATATTTGTTTTCATAAAATTCAGGTATATTACAGAATTCTTTAACTATCTAAGGTAAAAATAAAAAGCAACTGTTTTATGAGAATCAAATAAAAAAGAAACAATAAACAATAATCAATCAATAAATAAATAAATATCAATAAACTGCATATACATAAGCCATGTTGGAGAATCAAAAAGCACAGGTTATTAAAATGAAATATTCTACTCAAAAAGAATTGCTGGGCATATGATGGACAGACTGGATGCCAGCACAAAAGATACATCATGTACAAATACCATCCCCATCCGTGATCAAAATAGAAATATGGAAATTCAGTATACTGTTTCATTACCTAGAAAATTATTAATATGAATTGCTGAGTATACAAAAGATGTACGAACTCTCCAACAACCAATATAACACATCTTTAACAGAATACTCCTAGGAGTAACTAAATAAAAGAATAAGATAAAGCTAAAAACATCCAGAAACCTGAGCTTGAAAGCAGCCTTAAAATAGGAGAAGCATTAGAAATCACCACAAGACCATATCACAAAAAATACTTTTTTCAATTTGCCATACTGCAAACTGTCAAAGTTAAGGAATGGTGATATAGCCATCATTCCTCAAAAATGCAGTAACCTTATACCTAGTAACAACACAGGAGACAGCAACAAAAGATTGGAAAATTCACTGAACCATTCATTTGTTCCCAGAACTTCAGTTTGCTTTAACTTCATTTTAAGTATGGTTTAACTCTTCAACACTTGTAGAGTTCAAGGAATGTATCAACACTACAAAGATGAGAAGAATGCTACAAAAGATATGAACCAAACTTGATTATGTTTGAAATACATACGTGTCATGTGACCAACAAGGCATAATTAGAACATTTGTAGTACATGAGAAAAAATTGGAGAGTTTCTATCTCTTTCCATGTATTAATTATTATTGTACATGTCATACAGTGTTTTAAATTTTGATGAATCATTTAGAGTAGTGCTGCATATATTAAATTTCTTGTCATTTACATTACTGTCAATAAAAATGACTTTTAGGATATTCCTTTAACATAATATCTACTTTTCAATGTTATTCAAGAAATCACATTTACCACTATCCTTAAATTATCCAAACTGTATCAGTTTTCAAGTCTTGACAATGTGCAAAACACTGCTTAACCATTAAAAGCAATGCAGTGTTCGTAATGAGCATGACAGGAACCATCAAACTTATGCTGAATATATATAAAATATATTTAGACTTACTGAATAATATGTACTGATATATAATATGTGGAGTCTAGACGACACTGGTTACAGATCTCTTCTACAAACAAGCGGCTTTAGACGCTATTGGTCATGTATTTAAATTCCAAATCATTAACTGTTGTATAGTTAATAACAACACAATACGTACAGAATGTCTGAATTTCCAGTCACATATCTCAGCAGTCTTGCAAAGATATCTGCAAGTGCTACACTTTCCTCATCAACAAGAGCTTCTTCCAAATCCTGCAATGAGAAAATTCATGCTTATGTTAAATCTTTATTAATATTAATAACAATTCAAGAAATAGTAACCAAACAAGAGTTTGGCTACAGGAAGCGCAGCATTGATAATAATAATAAGTAAGTAATATTATGCAGTAAAACGGTATGTTTCTCACACTACAGTATGACGTTTAATTAAAGTATTAGATTTGTCATGGCATTTTAGTAAAAAATAAGCTAACCAGATGATTCTTCCACAACACTGAAAATAAAAATGTATAACTACTCATAAACAATAATCCTCTTGAACCACCTGAGCAGCATGGGTTTTTGGATCTATCATGAAGACGTGTATTTAAACAGCTTTTATTAGGTAAATTTGTATAATTATTTATTTTATTTTCTATTTTCATGAACTTACATTCATCAAGACAACTTTTATGTTATTGAAGAAGGTAAGAAAGTAAAATAACCTTAAATTATAAGCTAATATATACCAAGTCACAAAAAATCTCAAGACCAGATAAAACTGATCATGCCGCTCGGTTAAATGGTGAAATGAAGCAAGAAATAAGCTGCCATGATGTACTTTATTTGCATACCAATGTAAGAGAAAAATCTCAGGAATAGCAGGAAAAAAATATCTTTTTAATAAAAGCAAAAAGGATTTAAATACAAAATATTATTCGATATACTTTAAAATTTATTTCCACTGGCATCTGGCCACACTTCCAAAAATTCTTCATCTCATGGCTTCACTGACGGCAGTTTCAAAATGATGCGATAGTATGAGATTAAACACAGAAATTATGGTATACTGACCTTCAAAGGACTACTTTGTGATGGTCTTTCATAAATGACTAATTTCTAAAGACTTTCATAAATGCAGCTAAATCTCTTTTTTCCTTAAAATTTCTGTTTCCTGTTTTTAAATATGCTTTTATTTACTCATTTTGATACAATACTTAGCAATTTTTGCTAATCATTTTTAGCTAATAGAAGACAATATTTTTGTGCTAATCAAATATGTACATATGCTAAAAATATTAAGTGTAAAGTTCATGTACATAGGAAAACAAAATTTTAAAATTCTACTCCAAATTTCATTAAATAATTTACCAATGGTAGTCAAAAACATTAAACTTAATAATTTTTTGGAAATACCTATAGATTAGCAATATTTTTTTTATTGTTTTATATTTCTAGAACAGTTCACATGCATTTTTTAATGAGAGTTGGATAACCTTCTTTGCTAGGTATGTTTGATCGATTTTGATACAATACACAAGGACTACCTGGCCAGACTGAAATGCATTTGAAGAGAACTTACTAAGAGACACAGGCTCATATTTGCATTGCACATAACCTACCTCAAGACAGTTTTCGAACATGGCAAAAAGATGAGCGTTAAACATATAAAATATAAATTTCAGGGCAGTTATTCCAATTAAAAAGGAAATAAATACAATGACACAATTTAAGAGCTTCTTAATGTTTTCAATTATAAAATAAGATGCTCCACACAGTTTTCTACAGAAACATAGGCACCAACATTCAGTGGTGTAAATATAGGTATGCAAGGAATGCTGTTGCATACAGGCGTGAAGGCTTAGGGGGCCCTTGGAATGTCCTGCTGAATTATATTTATATGTTTCAATTTAAAAGAAGACGAATATATATAATAGAATCCAACTTCTTTTAAGTTTTTAAGGCCTCCCTATATATATATATATATATATATATATAAGATAAAAAATATGTGAATCAAAATTATAATTTAAACTAACGGTAAAACATTAATTCTCCCCCTATTCTAAAAATCGCAATAACTTCTCTGGATTGCGTCATTTCTAGATCATTCTGGCCTGCGCAGTTCTGATGATATAGTAATTGGGAACTGAAACTACCACTGTAAACCAAAACTTTTCTCTTCACGTGCTTCCATCTTTCAAAAGAACGCACTTCAACTTCTGTCTGTGCTGTGCTTGTACGCAATTTTGCAATGCTGCTTCCTATTGCAATAATATCAATAATGTAAATGTTCTTGAACAGGCACGATTAGGGTGCTAAGTGATCTGTGGCCACATAATGTCAACTGGAAATAAAAATGGAATTAAAATCGCCTCGACTGCCAAGTTTTTTAGATACTCACGAAAACAACACTTTAGCTTACAACACAAACAGAATACTTCCTCTTCAATATACGATAACTATGCATCAACCATGCTCCGCCTTTTCCTTGCTTTTATTATGCCATATACATACATATGTGTGTATACACATATATAGATAGGAGGCTCTTGTGAGCAGACAAAACAGCTGAATTCAGTGCTGCACTGAACACAAAGCAATAAAGCTGTATGCTTTTGTTTTGATTCCCCTCCAAGACAGCTTGCAAGTCATTAGCTATAACCGGGGCCTGACTCTTGTTGGGTTTTATTGTGAGAATAAGTTCTGAATTTCTCGAAGTGAGCAGCTGTTAAAGGCAACAAAAATGAAGATACAGGAAGTCAGGCCACCTAAAGTTCACTATAATTATATAATTACCCGAAATTCCACTTTTAGGAAAAGATTTTATATTGCAACTATGTTTAAAATTTTCTCGTATATGAAAAGTGCGAGTTGGATGAGGCAAAAATTACTACTTCATTTGTGCATTGTAGACTTCACACTAGTTCTTGTTTTAAAACTTGGTTATATAATTAATTTATTTACATCTATATCTCACAATAATGGTTCATTCCGGATGAAAATTAAAAAAAAAGAGATTAAAATCTCTTTTTTTCCTTTCTATTTACGTTTCCTACTCTTAAGGGTTTTTCACATTTCATTTTTCAGCAATCAGAATTAAATAGTTTATAATTCTTCAGGTGCACATAAATTTCAATATTGGTTTTTGTGTATATAATTTTGGGAAAAAATATTTAAGCCTCTTTGCTTAATTATTTTTTAATCTCGTACAGAAATCTTATTCGATATGACTTATAAGTTACTGATATTTGAATTTTTTGCATCGCAGAGAAGAAAAGATAGGTTATAACGAATGACAGTTGTTGCGATATTTGACCTAAAATAGACTCTCAGCAATTCTAGGCCTTTATAGTGGTCATTGTAATAGAGCTGCTGTTATAACAAGCGTTGATTGTGTTAACATTTCTAGCACTTTCCAAATCAAAGAAAATATAAAGGTAGCAGACAACAATCAGCTATTTGACACAATGAATGTTTTCCTGAAAAATGAAGAGACCCCAATAGAAGCTTTAAGTAATGATATAGGCTAAATAAGAATGTTACTTTTAAAAGATAGTTATTACTAAAAGTTTCACATAAAGATTTTCTCTGAAATTTTCCTTAAATGTCTTGTCTGAAGAAGACCTTTTTATATGTATGTTTATTAGTTATGTTTTATGTATGAGTACATCTAATCAGAAACGAGCCGAGACTTTGCCAAGTAAATCTTTGCAAAGTTTGCAGGTAAATGTATGGAAAATTTTATTTAAATAATTCAAATATAATGAATGATTTATTAATAAAAATTTTTCCCCCATAAAATTTATTAGTGTGTTTATTATTTTTTCACAGAAAAGGGGGGGGGAGGGATGTGTAAGTAATTTACACAAATCTCCCCTCTATGTGGAAGCCATTTTCAAAATATTATGCAATTTATTTTATTGGAAGTATATGCACACAATCAAAGTGCAGTAAAACAAGCTTACAGAGCCCTTTTCAAACATTCTGTGTTATAACAAATAAATTAAAACGTGTCGTCTTTCTAAATTCTGTAAGAAAGATCTTACAGTGAATTCGAAATAGATTTTCACAATTACAAGATACCTGAAAACAGGTCTAATAATTTTTTTTAGCATGTTATTTTATGTAACTATTTTGCATATTGTTTTATTTCTATATATTTTGTTATTATGATAACATAAATTATGTTATATTTTGTTAGATTGGTTCACCATTAATGGCCTATCCCTTTTCAAATTGTTGCCAAATATTATCGCCCTATTGTATTTTTAAAGTAATTAAAGAATGAATATTTCACATGTATGAATGTGTGTTTCTTGCATCTTAAAAAAAAAAAAAACGAAGGTACCTAATTAAGTTAAGCCATTAAATTTTGAATAACGTAGTCCTCCATCTGAATATGTGTACCTGGAAGCCCGAATTTCCAATTTGCCTTATTATTTCATATTTTTAAGAATTTTTATAAATTTTTGATTAACAACTTTAATGATATGAAAGCAAGCAGTGGTAATGCTGTTCAAAATAAAACAACTTTATCTCAGTTCATGAGCTTTCAATTTTAATTAACAAACTTCACTCAAAAAGCAACATGTTGCCGATGCCGGTTTTTTATCTTCCACTCGTCTGCATGTTGATTTTCAGTAAAGCCTAAAACACTTTCATATTTAATCTGGAAGGTTACTGAATAATTAACTAAATGATTTGAAACCAATAAGCGCTGTTCTTGAGAATATTATTTTTCTTACTTTTTAATGCGATTAATTTAAATAAACATGTTTTAAACTCATGACATGTTTAATTAGAACTATTCAATATTTTTTTTTGCAATCAATATTTTCTCTTTTTAGGATATTCCCCCCCCACCAGTTAGAGGTCTTAAATATCACCTAAGAAGGAATAAAATGTTAAACTTCGTATTCCACTTTGTTCATGCATCTCTTTAAAACTCATATGCAAAATTTTTGAAAGCTGAAGGAAGTGACATGATTTTTGAACAGTTTCAAAACTAATATTTAAAGATAGTCAGGACAAAAACACTAAGCAGTGACCCATGCAAAGAATTGATTTCTTTCCAGGTTTGAAAGTACATTTTTTAATTCTACATTTTATTCATATACTTGTTCATTGAAAAGATAAAAAATTTAATTGCATTAATTTGGTCATATTCTACTAAACTGGGGGTGGGGTAGGCAAAATGGAGATGTCAGAGCTGCACAACAGATTTGGCTCCATACCTCTAGTTCTGTAAATCAAGCCCTCAGAACAACACG